AAGAAGAGAGAAGAGAGAGAGAAGAAGGGAGGGGGGAGTGAGAAAGAGAAGAGAGGGGGAGGGAGAAGGAGAGAGAGAGACAGAGAGAGAGTGGGAGGGAGAGAGTGAGGGAGGGAGGGAGGGAGATAGAGAGGAGGAGGGGGAGAGAGAGACCAGACTCATCCTTTCATCCAAACCCACTCCTGCAATAATGACATTCAGAGTCTCGCTGTCCTGTCTCCTTATGAAGGCTCCACATCTCCACACCTTGGATTGCGGAGGTACTTTGAAACCAGAGCACAAGCCCAATTTCACAAGGGGACCACCCACTTTCAGAGCAAAGCATTGACCATCCCTGGAGCACGTGACTCATGCTGTCCTTTGGTCTGGGGATAGGAGGCAGAGCGTCCTCATGGGCCGGATGCCTCCTCCTCCTCCCCCTGTCCTGACCACAGGGCGGCCGCAGCAATGAACGGGGAGACGGGCATCACTGCTCACTAATCCGTGAAACATGTGCAGAAAGTCTGCCTTGTGGGCCCCACAGAACACAGGGCATTCCCGGACCCCCACCTAACACCCCACTATCTTCTCACTGTGCCGTTCCTTGCCAGGGCGGGAGGCCTTTTCCCTCCCTGGAAGAGAGCTGGATCCCCTGGAAGGGGTCATGATACACAGAGGACATTCGGAGGAGTAAGGGTGCCTGACCGTGCCGTTTCCAGATCAGCTGTGAAGAGAGAAGGCCTACTCTGGAAAGGGGGCTGGGACCGGGGTCCCTGAGCAGGGAGCTCCTCCCGGGCCAGGGAGCAAGGGCAAGCTGGGGTTACTGCTCAGACCTCTGTCCACTCTGCTTTCCTGGGGCTCAGGCCAACCAAGAAGGCAGGAGGCCTTGTCCCCCTTGGGGTTAGAGAGTGAGACGGGGTGGGAGTGGGACTCCAGGCAGGTGGGCCTTGGCTGGGGAGGTGAGGGGCTGGCGGAGGAGGGTGGCAGAGTGTCCAGGTGGACTTGGCAGGGATTCCCACAGGCTCTGGGCTGCCCCAACCCTGCCCATCCCCCAGGAGCGCCTCCCACAAGTCACTGGGTGTGTGGAGGAAGCACATTCCACTTGAAGGGAGGAGGGGACTGGGTTCTGGCTGGGGCCAGACGTCGTCTTTTTACCTCATCCTCCCAAATCCTCCTGGGCCCCCTCATCCTGGGGTTCACTCCCTCTCTCGGGTGGCTGCCTGGATGCCCCCATCTCTTAGGCAGGTGAGGGCTGCCTGGTGGTCTCAATCCCTTTCTCTCATCTCCGCATCTTCAGGTGTTTCTCTCTTTTTTTTGAGTCAGGGTCTCCGTCTGTCTCCCAGGTTGGACTGCAGTGGCACAATCATGGCTCACTGTAGCCTTGACCTCCTGGGCTCAGGCAGTCCTTCTGCCTCAGCCTCCTGAGTAGCTGGGACTACAGGTGCCTACTACCATGTCTGGCTAATTTTTTGATTTTTGTGGAGATGAGGTCTCGCCAATTGTCCCAGGCTGGTCTCAAACCCCTGCGCTCAGGCAATCCTCTTGCCTTGGCCTCCCAGAGAGCTGGGATTGTAGGCGTGAGCCACTGCGCCTGGCCTCAGGTGTTTCTCTTGACACTGTTCTTGAGGGAAACCTCTCGGCCACTGGCCACTGGTCAGGGCTGTTGCTCTGCCCTGGATTGCTAGCCTCTCCCACAGCCCTCCGCTGCCAGCTGCCACCCATGATCCCACGAGGACAGCAGGAGCTGGCCTAGGAGCCTCTGGTCCACCCGGCTGGAGGCCGTCCTCACCCCTCAGGCCTGGGGTCCTGAGAAGGAGGGTCCCGTGGTCTCAGACGCTGTCTCTTTTGTCTTCTAGGGCATGCTCATCGAGGGACCACCTGGCCCAGAAGGCCCCGCCGTGAGTATCAGGTTTTATCTTCCCATGACTTGTGGGCTGACACCCCTAAAGTCTCCTAGCTGGAAAAGAAGGGGGTTCACCATGTCGGTAAACATCCTGGAGCCCAGAGCTTCCCTGGCCCCTGCTGCCCTGGCTTATCTGCATGGGAACAGGGTCTGGCCCTGTGGCTGCACCTTTTAACTCTGTCCTGATTTTATTTTTAATTCTAGGGTCTTCCTGGACCTCCGGGAACAATGGGGCCCACTGGCCAAGTCGGTGACCCTGGAGAAAGGGTAAGAGGTTGACTTGGTTCCCCACGGTCCCGTGCTCCATGGGCTTGTCTGTGTATCCTTCCTGCTCTGTGACCCGGGAGGTTCCCTGGATGTGGAGATGACACTGACCACATTGATCACCTCCTTCAAATTGCCCCTCACCCGGGTGCCCCTAATGCCAGCCCCTCTCTAGATATCCATGGAGGTGGGCCATCGCCTGGCCCCGTGCAATACTGCTATGGAGGCTGCCAGTAGTCAGCTCATGGCGGTGGCTCGGGGGCCCTCCACTGGCCCAACAAACAACAATGACAACAGTAGTAATAACTGAAGAGCACCAGGACGCCTTCTGTGCCTAGCCCCAAGTGGCCACGTTATGTAGATTTCCATGTCATTTCTTCCTGAGTCTGAGGACTTCCTTGGCCTTGATTCCTTCCCACGCACACGTGACTCATTGGAAATCGAGCACCAGACCCAGGGAGAAGCTTGTCCTAGGTCAGATGAGGCGTCCTTGTGTCCCTATGTCCTGGCAGGAGGGAGATGGGGCCACCCCCAGCCCTCACCCGGCCACCATGATATCCTTCTGACCCCTGGTGGGCACTCCCAGTACTGCAGCCTGCAGGTTCTCGAACAACGGAGCGTTGTGTTTATTTCCTGTTCTAATGAGCTCTGCTATGAGTGCAAAAGGGTTGATTTCGAGCTCATGACTGGAGGGCTCCCTGGCAGAGAAGAGAAAGAAGGAGCGTGCATGGGTCTTCATGGGTGCTTACCCAGGGCCTGGCCTGCTGCCCGGTGCAGAGTATGGACCCCATGAATGTTTGGGTGAATGGGTGAAGGGCTGGGTCAGGTCTCCTGGGAAGGTGATAAGTAATGTCAGCGTGCAGGGGCTGGGACTCTTCCAAGGCCACCTTGTGGGAGTCATTACAGGGTGTCATGTAGCTGGGACTGCAGACACCACCATGCCCAGTTCATTTTTTTGATTTTTTGTAGAGGCGAGAAATGGCTCTGTTGCCCAGGCTGATCTCGGACTCCTGGGCTTGAGCAATCCTCCTGCCTCGGCCTCCCGAAGTGCTGGGATGACAGGCATGGGCCACCGCACCCAACCGAGCTGACAGTTTTTCCACGTGATAGTAAATGCAGTCTCCCGTTGGTGGCTGTGAGGACTTGTGTCGGGTTTTATTTAACACTTTGGAAGGATTCATGGGCAGGCAAGGAGAGTCTTTCCTTTCTCCTCCAAACCGTGTCTTTCCTCCAGGGCTTGGATTGTTCTGTTTATCTACATTCTGGCTCCTTGGAATGGTTCTAGTTGTAGAGGGGGCACTAGTGGGGAAATGGCTCTCACGGTCCCTGAGATCGAATCTTCACCGCTATAGCTTAGAAAGAGCAGGGAGCGGGTGCGCTGCAGGGAGGGGCTTTGTAAATGGTCCTCATGCGAATAGGAGCGCTTGCGCGCGCGCACACACACACACACACACACACACACACATGCATGTACCACATAGACAGCGGCTCGTCCTTGGGAGACGCTGACCCCGAGTTTTAAATGCAGGGTTTGGTCTGGGATCGATTCTAACACAGAATGCTCAGCTGTGAGCGGCTGTCAGCATACCATTTCAAAGGTGAGACATCGTTCTGGACCTTTTTAAAACAGGATTCTTATCTTCTGATAATTCTCCCCCCCCCCCCAGGATGGCAGGTGAGGGCAATTTGTTGGCATCCATTCGCAAGTTATTTATTTATTTATTTTTGAGTCAGGGTCTCACTGTGTTGCCCAGGATGGAGTACAGTGGCACAATCAGAGTGCACTTCAGCCTCCACCTGCTGGGCTCAGACGATCCTCCCACCTCAGCCTCCCAAGTAACTGGGACTGCAGGCATGCACCAGCCACTATACCTGGCTAATATTTTGATTTCCATAGAGGTGAAGTCTTACTATGTTGCCCAGATTGGTCTCGAACTCAGCCTCTCAAAGTGCTGGGATGACAGGCATGAGCCACTGCACCTGGCTTTCATTAGCAAATTTTTTTTTTCAATGTGTAAATCCTTTGGCCCAGCAGTTCTGCTTGCAGAATATGTCAGAGTATCCACTGCGACAGTGTGGGCATAATACAAATTGGAACCAACCAGCATGTGTCAGGGAAGGACAGCTTAGGTAAATGATGTGTCCTCGTGCGTGGGAAACTCCACAGCAAGGAGAGGAATGAGGTCGACACAGACAGGCCATGATTTGCGGCGAAGGGAAAGTGAATTGCAGAACAATGTGTAGGGACAGTCCTGTTAAAAAAGAAAGAAAACGCGGTGTGTTCACACTCCTATGAGTAAGCGGGGGTAAACACTGAAATAAATAAGAGGGGACCCAAAACAACCCAGAATCTATCTGTAGAAAAAGTATATTGATTCTTACATGTTTAAACTGTTCACCTTAAAAGTATGCTCCCATACCTCTCGAGACTTTGTTCCACTGATCAAAACAGTGTTTGAACTCATCCATTTTGATGCCTTTTGTTGTTTCTGCCATCTTTTGTCTCACCTCTTACCCATCGGCCAGTGTTTCCCTTTGAGGACTTTTTTCATCTGGGGAAACAAAAAAAGTCACTCGGGGAGAGATGAAATCATGCCATCTGGGGTCAAAAACCGCTGAACACTCAGTGCGGTGTGGGCAGGTGTGCTTGTAAATCACGCGCCATGAAATGGGCAAACGCGTTGAAAGAATCTCCAAAAAAAGTTCACTGAAGCTGATCGCAGCCTCTCACAACACTAGCTGGGCTACTGATGCCAGTGGGTTCCTAGAACACTTGCCTAGGGAGGGAGACCTCTACTACGAGAGGCCCGCCCTCCGAGAGATAATTACGGGTTTTTTGGGTCCCCCTTCATCTACAGGCACAAAGATGGGAAAAACAGACACTGGGGACCCTTAAAGGGGGAAGGGAAGAAGGAAGGAGGGTTGGAAAAACCCGCTATGGGCACTGTGCCCACCACCTGGATGATGAGCTTTGTAAAAACCCAAACGTCTCCCTCATGCAATAGACGCATGTATCACATCCGCCCATGTACCCCTTGAATCTAAAATAAAATAATTAAAAAGAAAGAAAAGAACGCACCTTCCAAGCCACATACCCTGGCAGGGTGATGGGCACATTACAGAATGTGTCTCTGGCATGTGGATCTCTAACCCTGCCCGTTGCACGTGTGGGAATTGAACACTGGTTACATCTGGTGACCAGAAGTGGGCTTTTACTTTCGCTCTATCAATCTGTATCCTACGACATTTTGCAAGAACATGAGTTATGTGTATAATAAACCTTAAAAAATAACTATGAAAGACATGGCAGGCAAGTTTTGGGTCAGGCCCAGATGGTTCCACACCCTCCTGGACAGTTCTAGGGGAACGGCTCAGGTTCTGGGTGGTTTCTGGCTGGGAATTGGAAGTCCATCTTGGGTCTTCTCGCTGGGAGCATCTCGCTCCAGTGGTGTGAGCACCGGACACACTGGGGACACACGCACAGGCAGCTGTTCCTGACATGGAAGACAGAAGCCGGCCCCCACCAGTTACACTGGAGTGTGATTCACGGAGTTGGACATTCGTGTCCATGCACAGTGAGCCTCGTTGACCTTGAGCTGTGGGGGGTCTGCCTGTGTCCCTGAAATAGCTGAGTGATAAAACATTGTTTTGAAATTAAACCGTCTTGTTCGTTTCACCTCTAGTCCTGAGGCTGGCCAGCATTCCTCAGGAATCCAGCCGGGGGACGTCTGTCCTGTATTGGGGGCAGGTTGGCTGGGTTTGTGGATGCCATGTGCTTGGGTTCTGGATGGTGTCCTGGATGAGTGAGTGTCCGGTGGATGGCCTTCTGTTCAGTGGCCCTCTTGAGTGTCTGTCTGAGCATGTGGTCACTCCTGTCTTCTGTCTGGGCAACCAAGGCTGCTTGGAGCTGGCGAAGGAAGTGAGTCCTGCTGATGGCACAGGAGTTGAAACTTGGAGGCTGGAGTTCTTGTTTCCTGTTGGAGGTGGAGACCCAGAAGGGGAATTCCCAGAATGATGGGACCCCAGACCCTGCCCTCCACCCTCCTGGCTCCCTGGGAATGCCTGGAAGCTCCAGGGAGATGCCTGCCCGGTCCCTGGAGTCCTTGAGGTCCACCTCAGACTTTCTTCCCTTCTCATCCCTGCCTCTGAAGCCTTTCCTGACCCTCAGCTCACAGCCATGCCCCTGCCTTCTCTGGGCTGAGGCTTTCTGGAACATTCTCTGCCATGGAGTCCTGTGCCCCTCTCTGTGGGCGCAGTGTGTTTCCCGGGCGGGCTGTGTCTTCCAAGGCCCTCATTCTCGCTGCAGCTCTGCCCCAACCCCCGTTGCACTCTGACCCTTTCTTGGCCCTTGTTCATAGGGTCCCCCTGGACGCCCTGGCCTTCCTGGGGCCGACGGCCTGCCCGGCCCTCCAGGGACCATGCTCATGCTGCCTGTGAGTACCCTCGTCTGTGGGGTGGGTGGAGGCTGGGGCAGATGCGCTCTGGGCTCCAAATGCAGCCGACTGTATTTTGGAGAAGAACAATCCACGTAGCCACAGACTAACCTCAATCTGAGCCCACCTCTTCCTAGAGTAGTTACCTATGTCCTGCCAGGAAGACCTGGCATGGGGCCAGGGGTCCAGGAGTGGGGTCATGACGTCTCTCCAGTAGTAAGACACCCATGCAGGCTCAGCCTTTCCTGTGGGGCTGACTTTCTGGGGTGGGAAGAGAAGACAGGAATACCACTTCCTCAGGGTGGGGACCCAGATTGGGAAGCGCATGAGACTGGGCCGTCTCCACCCCCCAAAACGTGCTTATCTGCTGGGAGCAACCGAGGGGCAGCCTTGGAAGCATGCAAAGCGAGCCTCATTCGGTGGTCATCTGCCACCTTTTGTGGCCGTGGTGGTGGCTTTATTCCAGAACTTTCTTGATTTGGTATCCTGTTGACCTCAGGGGTCTCAGGGTGAAATGTTCTGGGTGCCAGAAAGGGCCTCCTGGACACAGGGATGGTCTCCGGGTGTTCCCAGGCTGAAATTGGCAGAAGGGATGGGGGCGGGGCAGCTTCTGGCAGAACAGAGTGTGTGTGTGTGGGGGGGTTTTGGGAAGAGATGTCAAACCAGACCCCCGAGGCTTCACTGATGCTCAGAGGCCCGTGGGCACCACCTTGGCCTGGGGTCCACACGCCCCGGGGTGACCCTCGTCTTGTGCCTGCAGTTCCGGTTCGGAGGCGGGGGCGACGCAGGCTCCAAAGGCCCCATGGTCTCAGCCCAGGAGTCCCAGGCACAAGCCATTCTCCAGCAGGCCAGGGTGAGTAGTGCCTGGGTCCCCAGGGGGCCCACAGGGGACAAAACCCAGCCCCAAGGACTGGCGTTACCTGGGAACACTGGCCCAGAGCCGGGCTTGGTGGGGACGTACCTCCTGACCCCCACCTGTGGAGGTCAGGAACTGTGGGAGTGCCCAGGCCTCCCTGTCCGGTGGAAGCCCTGAGCACACAGGCAGTGTTCTAAAGGTTTCCCAGGAGGTCTATGTCCACTCCAAGGTTCTAACTGTGTGTGTGTGGGGCGGGGTGTCTGGGCCCTTTTGTCACCTCTGAGCCACTGGACCCACCTTCCACCATTTTCTGGCCTCTGCCCCGGGAGGTGATGACCAGGCTCCCTGGGCTGGGTGGAGCTGGGCACCTCCGAGAGAGAATCCTTGGGTCCCAGAGCCTCTCACGCTCAGCCTGGAGGTCCACAGAGAAGTGTTTGCCTCCTTGCTGCAAATTAGCTACTTAGTGACCTGCGTTTTTAATTGCTGTGGCTCCAAAGGATGCACACGAGGAAGCTGCAAATAATCCCTTGTTTGGGGCATATTTATGCAGCTCCAAGAGCAGCACAGAGTAGATGTTAGTGATCAGAACGCTTGGATAATTACAGGACAGGGTAAGTATCGAGTTGTCTCCATGGAGTAAATGGCCCGAATGATGCGAAACAGTGTGGAATGAGTCCTGTGACCCACTGCTAGATGTATTGATGCAGGCCTGCCTGACTGGCCTTTGTCTTTTTTTTTTCTTTTTCTTTTTCTTTTTTTTAGGCTATGGACAGTGTGAGGGGGGATGGATAGATGGGGGGGGGCACAGCACCAGTAACCCAGAGATCCGAGTAAATGCAAAGAATTGCAACGCACAAAGAGGTTAAGAAAAAGAAAAGTTTGTTTAATAGTAAATTAGAGAGAGAAAGAGAAGGAAGAAAGAAGATTCACCTCCTCAAGGTGGGGGAGGGGGACCAAAGCCAGGAAGCATGGCGATAGCCGTGGCTCAAAGAGCACATGGCCACACCAGACTCTAGCAAGGCAGTGGCCCAGCCTTCGTCTTTTAATTGACCTCAAGTGGGTGATGGGCCTATAAGATTTCATACTGCAACAAATCTTCTAAAATTCAAATGATGTCCTACTGGGGAAACAGAGTCACGCAAGACCATAGAAAGGGTTCTTTGAGGAAGCAGGTTGAACCTGCCCCGTGGCAGGTGGATGCACTTGGGAAGGAAGGTGGTTTTAGTGGATGACAGAGAACCCAAGGCATGTGGGTTCCTGCACCCCCAAAATATGTCCCCAGGTGCCGGGGAGTGCCTGAGATGCCTCAGGTATGAATATCCTCCCCCTATCCAGTCTAGAGAAGATCCTCATTTCACATTCAGCCAAGGGGTGGAGGACATGTGGGGTCCTCTCTGGTTGGGCTGGATGGAGTCCTCCCCAGAAGGAGGAGGTGGGTGCTAACCCTGCTTTCCCCTTGCCAGCTTCTGTCTCCCTCCTTCTGGTTCTGAGAGCCCCGGGGAGCAATTGTGGGCTCTGGGGGCCCTATGTGGCCTTCTCTTCCAGAGCCTCCCGTCCCAGCCCTATCTGTCTGCCCCTGCCCTCTCAGGGCCACGTCTCAGGGTCAGGAGCCAGCCCCCAGGGCATGGCTGCCCCGTACCATTTCTCAGCTTGTCTCACTTTCCTTTGCAGCTGGCATTGAGGGGACCAGCTGGCCCGATGGGTCTCACAGGGAGACCTGGCCCCGTGGTAAGTTGTCAGCAAGGCTTAGTTGGTGGGTGCTGTGTCAGGGGCGGGGACACTGCACGCAGGGGCTGGTGGCTGTGCAGCTCTGGGGACGCAGGGTGGCCCACAGGGACAAGGGGTGTCCTGATGCTGCTCCAGCTTCTCGTGGGGGTGGGTGGGTGTGTCTTGAGGTTGCTCAGGGGCGTCTGTGCTGGGTGGAGCTGACATGGCAATCCCTGGGAAGTGGCCCCCACCTCCGTCCTAAACAGGAAGGAAGCTGGAAGGGCTGGAGGAAGGGGAAGCGTTTGAGCTCCAACAGAGAATGACTATAAGCCATCACCCCACGGCTTACCCTCAAGGACACCTCAGCTGGGGAGTGCAGCTCCTGGGAGGGACGGGGCCTGTGGTGGCCAGGGGACTGGAAGTCTCAGAGCTCCCCATGTATCTATAGGCTGTGGCTTTGCCTCCTGAAACGATCCTCACAGCCTTGTTTTAGACTTGAGGAGAACTCCATGTGGGGAAGCCACGGGACTTCCTGCCCTGCCCTGGCCTGTGGTCTTGACTTAGCTGTCCCCTAGGGTCTGTGCTGCACAAGAAGTGTGCGGTGTGTATCTAGGGTGTACCCAGGACACAGGGCCTGGGCTCTGGGGCCTCCACAGTGGGCCTCCACAGTGGGCCTTCTTGAATATGCAAGGTGACAGGACTTCAGTACAGCAGGGACTCTTGCTGGCTTTGCTGCTGGCTGCTGGGTCCGGTCTCAGTCCTCTACATGGGGGCTGACTCAGGGTTGTCCTCCCACCCCCTGGAGGACCCGAGCATGCACACACACTTCCCGAGGCCACGGACTGTAATGATTCCTGGTCAAGTTCATTCGGAGGAAGAAAGGTCTCTAAGGGCTTTGTGTTCTTGCGAGTGCCACCGTCTGGAATTCCATCCCAGATAAGAAGGAGATCCAGACAGCTGCATGTTCCTGCTCCTGAAAAGTCATCTTCTTCTCTCTGGTCCATTCAAAGCAGGCCTTGTGGGTTATAGAGGAGCCCTGTCCCCTTGGGCGGGTCCCTGTGTGGCTATCCCCCTGCAGCTGTCCCCCTGCCACCCTGACAGCTGTCATCGGCTCAAGTCCCTCCTCTGAGTGGACACTAACCACAGCGTGTCTCCCTAGGGTCCTCCCGGGAGCGGAGGTTTGAAGGGCGAGCCGGGAGACATGGGCCCTCAGGTAGGTGGAGACCTTGCCTTTGCCCTCTGAAGGGGACACTCCATTCTTGGGGGTGGTGACTGCTAGGACCACTAGGATGGCGGGACCCCACTGCTACTTGTCCTCAGGGTCATTAGGGGGATTGTCATCGCTTTATGTGATGCTGAGAGTGGAACAGAAAGAACCCTGATATCTGTAACAGGAATGAGCTGGTGTTTTTTGTCCCAGCCCTTACTCCAAGTTGCAGATCTGTGCCCTGTTCCCAAGATGCCACGTGTTGGCAAGCCTGGACAGGCGGTCACGGGCTACATTGACAAGTGCTGCGACAAGGCTTTGCTCTTTTTTCCTGAAAAAAACGAACGTGTCACTGACCCTTTGTCCTCTGGTTCCTGACAGGGTCCCCGTGGTGTGCAGGGCCCGCCTGGCCCGTCAGGGAAACCTGGAAGACGGGTGAGTGTTTAGGGTGTGAGATCGAATCTGGGGTGGGGTCACCCCCCAGCAGTGCCTCACGGGGCAGGCTGGGCCCAGCTGCAGAGAAAGGCTGCTCCACCTCCCAGGCTGTGTGGGAGCCAGTAGCCCAGCAGAGGCGCACCCTCTGTCCTAGGGGCAGACACAGCTGGCCCGTCCCCACACCTGGCTTCTGTCTTGGGCCCAATCATTTCACTTAGGAGAAATTTTTAATAAAAGTTGATATCCCAGGCCCTTGGGCAGCAAGCGTTGAGAAGACAGAATTGTTGGTGGGCTTCTGTCTGTGGACAGCCTCATTCCCCAGCAGTGGCCCCGATTCTGGGGAGTCTGCCAACCACCTGTTCAAGCTCCCCAGCACCTCACTGGGTTTCCTTGTGAGATTTTCCATTTGGTGTGTCATTCTCCTGGACAGAACTAGTTCATTTCTTTATGACGTGTTTATAAATTGTTGAAAATCGGCTGACATGGTAGCTCACACCTGTAATCCCAGCACTCTGGGAGGCCGAGGTGGGAGGATTGCTTGAGGCCAGGTGTTTGAATCCATAATTTGGTCTAAATGTCCAGACCAGCCAGAGAAGGCCTAATGAACCCAGATCATGGCCTCCCAAGTAAACCTTTTCCACCTTGCACGTCTCTAGTGAACAAGAGAAAATAGTTGGTGTCCTCAGGTGTCAACCTTTTAAAAGCATGTCACCTACCTAAGCCACCATTTACTGCTTTTGTTTCAGAGTATATGAGACAAAAACAGGTAGCTCCCAGGGTGTTCCGGATGCTTCTGTCTTGAGGAGCAAATTGCAGTTAATACATAAAAGTGGTCGAATAAGCCCAGGTGGGCAGGTCCAAGGCTCCATGAAGGAGATCTGGGCACAGAAAGAGACCTAGGTGGCTAATTCCAAGGGTCACCAGCTTGAATTCTTGGTAGACACTTGGACAATTTAACCTGGATCAGATTCTGAAAAAGTGTTTCATATGCCTGTTTCCCTGGCACATCTCTGTAAAACCTGTCTGGTTTCACTAGAGATAGTAATTTAGTCAGGACAAGGTTCCAGCGGAAACAGGAAAAGGTAAGGGCAGTGTTTTATGGTTGAATTGTTCCCAGGCCCGTGTATGTGAGGGTTTTAGGGCATTAAACTTGCCCCAAGGATGCATGACACCGGGGGTGTCCAACTTTCTGGCTTCCCTGGGCCACATTGAGTAAAGAGGAATTGTCCTTGCCTGCACATAAATTATTTAATATAGTTAGCGAAGACACATAATAATGCAGCTTTCATTTTTAAAAATTTTTATTATAAAGTTTAGAAAAATAAGAGCAATATTAAACTAGTGGGAAATTTTACCTTGTTTTGGTAAAACTAATCTATCGACATCTGGTTTGATGGAAGTGGTCACAATTCTTAGTGAGTTCTCAAGGTGCTCATCAGAAATGTTTGTTTGAATTTTCTCTTGTACGTGCTGCCAAAAAGTGATATCACGAATAAGACATGATCGTGAACTTCAAAAACAGAGCTGCGCAGAGTCACGAATAAAATAAATGCCAAACAACACATGATGTTAAAAGCTTTGTGGGGCTGCATGACTAGCTGTCCTGGGCTGCGTGCAGCCCGGGGGCCATGGGTTGGACATGCCTGCTCTCGAGGGAAAAGAGAGAGGGGTTCCGGGCTGAGTGGCCAACTTCCAGGCAGGGGGAGCGGCCCCTCTGGTGGTGTGCTAGCGCAGTCTGCGAGGTGCACATCCTTGAGGGCTGTAGAAGCATCTGGATGTGTTGCAGGGCAACGTCACACTGTGAAGCCCTGTGAGCTTTTCTGGTGAAGGATCCCTTGGTTTCTAAGACTGTCTGACCATTTTAGAAGATGCTCCCTATAGGCACCGTTTGCAGGGCAGGGCGGTGGCATTTCATATCAGAGCTGCACAACTCGGTGCCTTTCCTGAGATGACGTCCCACCCCTAGTGCCTCCTGTGTCCTTTAACCCGGGCAGCAGGGCACACGGCTGCCTCCCCGTGGCCTGTTTGGATCTCTCCCTTCTTTCTTCTCTGCCTCTCTCTGGGGCTGCCTTTGCTGTCTTGGAGGTTCTCTGAGACCCAAAGCTGCTACCCAGATGTTTTCCCGGCTTGGCAGTGAGTCGGTGGGCGATGAACCCATTGCTGAGTGCCCATGGAGCGTGGGCATGAGGGAGTGGGGTGCTGGTCAGCTCTCTGTATTTGGCTGGTGGGGGCGCCTCGTTAGTGAGTGGAGGTGTGACCAGATCTAATGCAGGCCGGGCCAGCCGAGTCTCTGTCCGCTTGTGGGGCTCTCCCTGTGGTAAGTGTGGGGCCCTCCTAGTGAACCCTGGATGGTCCAGGCCTCCCCTTCAGCTCTGTAGCAGTCTGTGGGCATCTCATCAGATGAGGTGGGCATGTCTGCCATGGCAGGGAATCATGGCCGCAAAGTAGCCATCAGGGCCAAGGTGATCATTCACACTCGGACCCTGCCTCAGAGTAACAGGGTGGTCTGAGTGAATCAGGCCCCCCTTTGTTCCTCAGTTTCTTCCTTAGTCAAATGACCTGTCCAGAGGCTTCCTTTCTCTCTCTCCCAAGTCTCTGGGCTGTTACTTGTCCCCCAAATGCTAGGAAGGATCGGGCCATGCATGGTGTCAGCAGCTCCCCTCACCTGGAACCGGAGCTGACAGTCCCCAGGTTGACATTACTGCTCCAGCCTGGAGTCATCTGCCACACTGTGCTGTCTTCTCAAATCCAGAGGGGCATTGGCACCGTCCTCCTTTGGTCTGGGTGGCAGGACCCAGAAAGACCTTTGGTGTGAGGGATGGAGCAGCCCAGGGCTCTGGGATCCGTGTCCTCTGATGCGCCTGGCCGCTCGGGGCCGTGGCCATGGCAGGCATGCCTTCCTTTATAGAAAACCACCACTCAAGGCCTCAGTGAACCGCGGGCTCTTTTGCACTGACAGTTTGCCTCCTATCTTCCAGGGTCGGGCCGGAAGTGACGGAGCCAGAGGAATGCCCGGACAGACTGGCCCCAAGGTAGGCAGCAGCTCACCACCCTCCCAGTGCTCTGGTGTCACTGTCCTCCTGTGGTCATGTGGATGATACAACCAAAATGCTGGTTGTGTATGTGATGACTATGAGTGTGATATCCAACTGGGAGTGGCGGCTCATGCCTGTAATTCCAACATTTTGGGATTCTGAGGTGAGAGAATCACTGGAGGCCAGGAGTTTGAGATTAACCTGGGCAACATGGTGAGACTTCGTCTCTACAAAGAATAAGAAAAATTAGCTGGGCATGATGGCACTTGCCTGTAGTCCCAGCTACTTGGGAGGCTGAGGCAGGAGGACCACCTGAGCCCAGGAGGTTGAGGCTGAGGTGAGCCAGGATCGTGCCACTGTACTAGCCTGGGCAACAGAGGGAGACTCTGACTCACAAAAGAGAATGTGATGACAAGTGGCTCAGTCACTCTGGCATTTTGACTCGGACACAGGGTTGAGGGGAGTATTTTACCAGCAAGTACAACAGTTGCAGTTCGTTTTCAAGAGGGAAACTTGCTCCTTTTACAAGGGTGACAGCAGGGGTGGGGGTGAAGTCTCCACACCAGAATCCATTCATGACCATGCGGGTGGTGAGGCCACACCCATGGGTCAGATGTAGGCGCATGTGATGAGTCCCGGGTCCTGGGGACAAGAGGTCTTCTTGTCCACACTGGGGATGTCTGGGCTCCTGGGTGTTGCAGGTGCAAGCGGGCATTGTCCATAGGTGAACGTAGGGGCACCCACATGGGCGTGAAACAGGCCTGCCCAGAGTGCACCCATGGGTGCCATCGAAGCCACCCTTCCCCGCTGCTGTGCTGCTGTGTGCCCAGCCCTCTGTCCTGACCTGGGTAGGAAGTGTCTCTCCCCCTTCTTAGCTCCTAGATGCCTTTGTCCAGGGCCATGGGAGGGGCCAGAGGAAACACTGACCTTCTCCGATGAGTCTCACACTGGGGACAGCTGTGATTTGGAAGGTGGAGTAGAAACTGGGTCAACAGAAGTGCCAGGTGTCCCCTGCACCCGCTGCCTGTGAAGCGGCATGGCTGAACTCTAAGTGAATCCCACTGAGTCCCCAGCTAACGAGGGAACGAGGGTGACCAAAGGAAAAGGCAGTCTCGTTGAATCTGTTTCAGTAGACTGTTGTCTACTCGACAACAAAACGACTGAGAGCCTGAAATATGTTACCCTTGACATCACCCTGCAGGGTCTGCACACCTGTGAGGTAGGGCATTGTTCCTGGCTCTGAGAGGGACAGAAAGAAGGCCAACCAGGGGAGGCTTAGAAATAGGTCTGAGCAGGGCTCGATGGCTCAGCCTGTCATCCCGCTCTTTGGGAGGCTGAGGTGAGTGGATGGCCTGAGCCCGCGGGTTTGAGACCCGCCCGGGCAACTTGGCGAGACCTCATCTCTACAATAAATCAAGAAATTAGCTGGGCGTGGTAGCACGTGCCTGGAGTTCCGGCTACTTGGAAGGCTGAGGCGGAAGGATCGCCGGAGCCCAGTGGGTCGAGGCTGCGGTGGCCGGGAGCGGCCGCTGCATTCTAGTCTAGGCGACAGAGTGAGACTCCAACTCAGAAAAACCCCAAACAAATAGGTCTGGCTAGGAGGAGTCTCAGAAAGAAGGCTGGCCAGGGGGAGGGTCAGAAAGAAAGCCGGCCAAAGGGAAGCTCAGAAAGGCTGGCCAGGAGAGGCTCAGAAAGTAGGCTGGCCAGGGAGCTGGGGGCACACACACAGTGCTTTTCCGTCCTCTGGGTGAACGTGAGCACCTGCTGTCTGCAGGCAGCCCCTTGGCACCAAGGACATGATGATACACAGGCAGAGGGCTCCTGCTCCCCTGGGGCTCCGTCGTGTGGGGAGACCAGCAGCAGACACGTCCACACACCCGAAATTCCGCATGTCTAAGTCCCATTGGGGCCCATGTTGGTGTTTGGGCAGAGGAGGTGGGGACCGTGGAGAGCTGCAGTGAAGGATCCGGGCAGGGGGGTCCAGGGTGGCAGACGCTGCATGAACCATGGCTCTAGGCAGGTGGCCATCCCTGCGTCCCTGTTTGCGAGTGGTGTCTGAAGCCTCCTTTCTGTCTTCTCACAGGGTGACCGCGGTTTCGACGGCCTGGCTGGTCTGCCGGGCGAGAAGGGCCACAGGGTGAGTGTTTCCTCTGTCAGAGGCAGGTGCGATTTTGTGTAGCAGAGTTGTGACTCGGGAGGCCTTTCTGGACAGCCCTGGCTCTCCTTCATGGGACCAGGTCCCTTCTGTTCCAACGTGGTCACTGAAGGAACCTCAGGGTGCCAGCAGATGGAAAGGAATCCCAGGACATGTGATGGAGAGAAGGGAGTTCCCATCTGCAGCGGGTCGTGAGCCAGCCAGACAGGCCTGCTCCCTCAAGGGGCGTGGACGGGGCAAGGAGCTGGCCATCCTTCCCTTTAGAGACCTGTTTTCTGTTTAGTGGCTCCTCTCCCATTTGGGGCAGCCAAGTCGCGGCCCCCATAGGAGTTGCCCAGGACGCTGTGGTCCACTTTTTGCCCAGGACACCCACTAAAGCAGTGGTCCCAGGAGGCTGGGGACAGTCTCTAGTGGTTGCTACTATTACGGAGGAGTGAGGTGAGGGCCACACTTGACCACTGCCCTGGTCTTCTCATCCTATTTGGGGCGGACCCAGCATGGTGGCTTTGCAGCTAGTTGGGTAATTTCTCTTACCTGTTTTCTTTGAAGTCGATTTCTTTGATGGCTCTTTTATATTTTAGCACATTCGGGACATACGGGCACATGGCTTTGGGCACACACACAGGCACACACGCACGTTTGTTGATTTGCCAATAGGAACGCCCGCTGCCTTCTGTGATGTGTGAGAAGGGCTGGTGCTGTTTATCCAAAGCTGCTGCACCAACATTCTCCAACCACCCCGTGAAACCTGTAGGGCCACAAAGGCAACCCCTGATTCATCCCAGTCCTCTTGACTGACCGATGAGCACATATTGAGCGCTGACTGCATGTGCGCTCTGAAGCTGCAGCCTGGTGGCTTTTCCAAGGGGTGATGCACTCTTGCTTCACCCAGAATATTCAGGCCTCGGGTAGCCCAGACCCGGCTCAGTAACTGGAGGGTGCCTGCATGTCAGCCCGCCCAATCCTGTTGGGTGCTTAGTCCAACAACCCTCCTGTCTCCTGGCCTCCAGGGAGACCCAGGCAAGAGTCTCAACGGCATCAGCCCAGCTTTCAGCACCCAGGACCCCCCAAAGAATCTCTTCCCACACCAGAAGGGTCCTGCAAGGGCTTGGGATTCTTGGGGGCAAACACAGCAGGGCTGGACGTTCCCTGAGTGACCTGCTTGGAGGTGGCTAACGTTGGCATGTTCACTTCCTAGGGTGATCCTGGTCCTTCCGGCCCGCCAGGACCTCCAGGAGAGGATGGAGAAAGGGTATGTATCCTGTCGTCCCCTGGTGGCACCTTTCTGCCCTGTGCCTCAGTGGGCTGGAACAGGAAATCCAAGGAGAAAGGCCATGGCAGCGGCGTTGGCCTGCTGGGATCGGGTGGGCTGGGAGGAAGATGAGAACCCTGGGTGGGCACAGCAATCCGGCGCTGGTTGTAAGAATGTACCTTTTCTCAATGGTTCTTACCAGCGGGCAGATCTCAGGGCAGGCTGTCACGGGGGTCCTCTTATTGCAGGAGATAGGTTCCCTACCCCACTGGGGGGAAAGATGCCCGGCGTTTTATGAGTCCAGGGTCTCTGGGCGATGAGTCGGACAGGGCATGCAGGGGGGTGGAGTGCAGGGATGGGGGAGCAGAGCAGGACGGGTAGGAAGGAACTCAGGGCCTGGAAGTGGCGAGGGGCACGTGACCGTGACCATGAGGATGAAGCGCGGGGGACAGAGTGCAGTGAGGAGGAGCTGATCTCGAGCACAGGCACATGGGCAGGGTCTAGCTTCCCAGAGGGGGGTGTGCACCCAGAGCCCTTGGTGTCTGTCACACGCATCTTCTCGGGGCCGAAGGTGGGGCATGAACTCTGGACCATGGCCCACGTGACTGGGCATGGAGACATGCATGGCTGTGGATTTTCAAACTCCTCCCTCCCTGCACCGCTGTCCCTCGGACAGTTTCTCCAAGTGTGAGGAGGCCTTCAGGGAAAAGGCCTGAGCAGCCCTGGAAGTGAGGAGGGGGAGCAGGCTCCAGGGGTGTTGCTCTCTCACCAGCTTTCAGGCTGATGCTATAAAGGCAGCTCCTCCTGTCTGGGCCTCAACACAGGCTGCTGTAAGATGAGGAAGGAGGCAGGGGTCCTTCTGCATGTCTGTGCTTCTTGATTCGGAGGAAATGCCTGTGCGTGTGTGCATGTACATGAACAGGGTTTCTGCGTGTACCAGTGTGCATGCATGCAGGCATGACTGTGTGTACATGTGTGTGTGTGCAGAGGGAGTGTGTGTTTGCACGTGTGTGTGTGCATATACATGCACAAAGTGTGTGTTCCTGTGTGCATGCATGCAGGCATGGTTGTGTGTGCATGTGTGTGCATAGGGTGTGTATGTGTGTGTGCACATGAGTGTGCATATAAATGCACAAGGTATCTGTATACCTATGTGCATGCACGTAGGCATGGCTGTGTGTACATGTGTGCATATACATGCACAAGGTATCTATGTGTGCCTGTGTGCATGCATGCAGGCAAGGCTGTGTATGGATGTGTGTGCACAGGGTGTATGTGTGTGTTTACACAGGGTGTATGTGTGTGCACAGGGTGTGTGTGTTTACACATGTATGTGTGTATATACATGCACATTATGCCTGTGTGTACCTGTGTGCATGCATGCAGGCATGGCTGTGTGTGCACCGGGTTTTTATGTGTGTGTGCATAGGATATGTGTGTTACAAATGAGTGTGTGCATATACATGCACAAGGTATCTACATGTGCCTGTGTGCACACATGCAGGCATAGTTGTGTATATATGTGGGCAGGGTATATAATGTGTATGTGCACAGGGTGTATTGTGTGGACATGTGTGTGCATGTACATGCACAGGGGGTCTTGTGTGTACCTGTGTTCACGCATGCAGGCATGGCTGTGTGTGCCTGTATGTGCACAGGGTGTGTGTGTTTACACATGCATGTGTGCATGTACAAGCATAAGATGTCTGCGTGTATGTATGTGTGCGTGTGTGCATGTGTGTGGGCAGGCTGTGTGTGAGCATGCATGCTGCATGTGTGGGAAGGTGGGAGGTACCTTGACCAGGAGCCCTGGGGGTAAGCCAGTGGGATAAGGCAAGCATTTCTGCCAGAGCTAGAGGGAGAGACTTTCCTGGCTCTGGGCCCCAGGCCGTTAGGACCCTGGCAGAGATGTTTGGTTCCCTCGAGGGTGGCCTGGGGGATCTCGTGGGTCTCCCCGATGCCTCTACCCCAGTGTCCGCCATTCACATGGGCCACGGATGCTTGAAGTAGACGATCTTCCCACCCAGCTTCCCCTGGAACCCGGGCTTGTGAGCTCCTGAGGGGGCGTGCCAGAGCCTCTAGCCTCACCTGTCTCCTGCAGTGCCCGTGTGCATACCTAGCAGCTCCCAGGAGTGAGGACCTTTCAGGCTTTTCCAGAGGCTGCTGGGACTGGTAAATCTGGTATATGCTGAAGCAGCCCCTGGAGTGCGGGCTTTATAGCCTTGACCCTAAAATCCTGCCTTTCTTCTGCTCCAGGGTGACGATGGAGAAGTTGGGCCCAGGGGGCTGCCTGGAGAACCTGTAAGTCGACCCCAGTTGGGTCATGGGTGATCATTGTGAGGAGGGCTCCGTAAGAAGACGGCCCCTGGAGCAGGGTCTGGGGTCAGCTAGGAGCGCAGATTAGAGGGGCCCACCCCACCTGAGGACAGACATCTGGGCATTTCCCAGGGAAAGGAGAGAGGGAGCACTTGAGTGGCTGGCCTGGTACCTTTAAGGAGGACATCTGAGCCTCTTGCAGGGGGAAGCTCAGCTCTGAGGGTAGTGGTGGGCATCTAGGGGTGTCACAGTGGGCATCCAGGGGCAGCGTGGCAGGCGTCCAGAGGTGTCATGGCGGCATCCAGGGATGTCACAGTGGGTACCAAGGGTCATCACTGTGGACATCCAGGGGCATCGTGGTGGACATCCATCATGGTGAGTGCCCAGGGACAGCACAGTGGGCATCCAGAGACAGCATGGTGGCCATCTTGTGGCTCACTGTGGATGTCCAGGGATATCATGGTGGGCATCCCTCATGAGGGGTGTCCAGAGGCAGCACTGTGGCCGTCCTGGGGCATTACAGTCCCCCAGGGGTGTCAGCAGGCATCCAGGGTCAGCATGGTGGTCAGCCCACAGCATCACAGTGGGCATCCAGGGGCAGTCACAGGCCTGAATCAGCCAACCCTGTGTCAGGTCCCATGGCTGCCCTTCCAGCCGTGGATGCCCCCAGCTGACCCTGCACCAGGTCCGATGGCTGCCCCTCCAGGCGTGGACGCCCCTAACCCGACCTTGTGTCAGGTCCGATGGCTGCCCCGCCAGCCATGGATGCCCCCAACCATGTGCCTCTGCTCTGGGCTCTGGAAAGCTGTCCTTCTTATTCTGCCTTACATTTAGGCTCAAAGCACATTTTCTCAATGATGGGGTATTCATTACTTTTCACTTATTGTGGCTTTAAAACATCTCTCTTTTTGTTACCGAAGGCAGCACGGCGTATGCATCTGGCAATGCTAATTGATGAGAAATATTGCAAAGGCCACGCGGAGAGGGGCAGGGGGCCGGCGTTTGCAGATTCATTTGGGACTAAATTATACCCTAGATGTCTGATTAGCCACTCAGGAGAATTCATCAACACCGCTCTCTCCTGAACACATGTTGAAGCAATACCTTCTGGGTTATTAGCTTCTAAAAAACATTTATGGGACTAGGTATTAAAATAACGAAGGAAACATTTAACAGGTGATGAACATGGGAAGGATTTCTCTCCTGCTGAATCTGAAATTAAGGGCACTTGAAGTCCATGTCTCTTGTGAAAGGCTTGATAATCTCCCACATGCAGGGTGGGCGTGCATGGTCCAGGCAGATTTGACTCTTGAATACCATCCCAGGGCTGTGTCCCCCCACCCCCCACCACACATGCCCCTCACTGCCAGGGGAGGGAGTGATAGCTCTTGGCCAGTGTGGCCGTCCCGAAAAAGATCTGAGCTCCACCCCTCATCTCCGTGCGTTTAGCCATGAGGTTCCCATCAGAGACCTAGTTTCTCCTGACTCTCCACCCTCGGGCTCTCTGATATCAGAAGCACAGTTGAATGTTACCGCGGAGAGGAATCCAAGAGGGAGCCAGTAACAAGCCTTGGACAAAGGCGCTCCATTTGGTGGAATATAATTGTGTGGCATTTCTCCAGGGGAGCTTTGTGCCTGTCTGCCTGCCTTGAGCACCTGTCAAAGGCGCCGGCCGGCTTGAAAGCCCCCCTTTCCCTGTGGGTGTCCCTGGTGCACCATCTGAGGCCCCATCAACCCAGGTTCCCTGCCTGGTTTCCGCACTGAGGTGGGACAGAGTGAGGAGCTGAAGTGGGGTGGGAGGGAGTCTCGGTCACGCTCCCGGGGGATGTGGAGACCGGTGTCCCCAGCCAAGGCTCTGGGTGGTGTTGGAGCCGAGTGGGGCTTGGGGACAGGGAGGAAAGTCGGGATTTCTAGCTGAGCTTAAACCTTTGCTTTCCTCTTGCAGGGACCACGTGGTCTGCTTGGGCCAAAGGGGCCCCCAGGCCCTCCAGGACCTCCCGTAAGTTCTGTCACCTCTCTGCATGTCTGTCCCCATCACAGTCCTCGAGAGTTCACTGCCCAGCTAGTTAGTGGCTCCCTCGGGCACTGGGGCAGCAAACCTGTACTGACCACTCTGCACACCTGCAGCTGGTGTGAGGTGTGGGTGTCTTTAATGCTCACATGCAAAAGAAGCGGCCCTGGCTGATGTGAGCTTGCAGGTGAAAGCCCGAGGCTAGCTGGTTTTACAGCTCTTCCCTTCCATGCTGGCTGCATTCCTTTCTAGTACATTGTAGGTGCTTTTGGTTATAAACAGTAGCCCAAACTGCCATGTTTCCACCCTGTTTGAAAGAACTTCCAGCCTGGCGTGGTGGCTTACACCTCTGATCCCCACGCTTTGGGAGGCTGAGGCGGGAGGATCACTTGAGCCCAGGGGTTCAAGACAAGCCTGGGCAACATAGCGAGACCTTGTCTCTACAAAAAAATTAAAAAATTAGCAAGGAGTGGCAGCGCATGCCTGTAGTCACAGCAACTCAGGAGACTGAGGCAGAAGGATTGCCAGAGCCCAGGAGGTAGAGGCTGCAGTGAGCTGTGATCCTGCCACTGCGCTCCAGCCTGGGTGACAGTGAGGTCCCAACTTAAAAAAAAAAAAAAGATCTTCCAGTAGCTTCTGTGAAAGTTCTGGAAGGAGGCTGAAGCCCTTGGTTCCAGTGGCTCTCTGTCCTGGTGGGCAGACCTGCTTTTCTAGAACCCGGAACCTGCCCCGTAGAATGCCGGGGTCTGGTTGCTTGCTTAACCCTTAGCTGAGGGTTTCTGGGCTGGCGAGTGGACCCTCTGGGGAAGAGATTTAAGATCAAGAAGTTCCCCTTCCCCAAATATTGTGCTGGAGTCCGTACATTGTGGGACAGGAATCTGAGCTGTGTTGAGCGTGCTCTTCCTTTGGGCATTGTCGAGTCTTCCACACTCAGTATCTGATTTTCTTGTTAAAATCTCATGTAGGGTGTGACGGGTATGGATGGCCAACCGGGCCCGAAAGGAAATGTGGTAAGTCCCGGATCCTGTGGCCTGGCTTCAGGACGCTTTCCCCTGGGGACACTTCCTGTTGGCTGGGGAGGTCTGTTGCTACCCATGTCCATTGGAATGTGACGGGCGTGGGGAGGTGCAGAACCCCACGTGGTACCCGCCCTCCGGGGGCTACACCATTCATGCCAACAGTTTGGAGTTGGTATTTATTCTGTCCAAAACCAAAGGGGGTCAGTGTGGGTGTGCAGAGAACAGACTTCCTGGCTGTGCCCCCAGAGCTGAGGATAAACATGTCACATGAAAGACACCACTAGCCGGGCTCGGTGGCTCAGCCTGTAATCCTGTGCCTTTGGGAGGCTGAGGTGAGTGGATTGCCTGAGCCCACAGGTTCGAGACCCACCTGAGCAGTGAAACCTCATCTCTACAATAAATCAAAAAATCAGCTGGGTGTGGTAGCGCATGCCTGTAATTCTGGCTACTTGGAAGGCTGAGGCGGAAGGATCGCTGGAGCCTAGCAGGTCGAGGCTACGGTGGCCGGGAGCAGCCACTGCACTCCAGTCTGGGTGACAGAGTGAGACTCCAACTCAAAAAAAAAACAAAAAAGAGAAAGACACCACTAAGGGACCCGTGTCCTGGGCACCTGTGTCTATTTCAAGAACACCGGGAGACTTTAGCTTGATGGGATGATGTGAGAGTTCTCTGCCAGATGCAGTATTTCTGTCAGTTTCTCTCACCTGCTCCCTCCTGAATGGATGTCAGGCTATTTGCATAAACGAGTTAGTGTTCACATATTGGGGTCACATCAGATCTGGAGGTGCCAAGTCCTGGCACTACTTTCTGCGCCAGGATTTGCTTCCCTAGGGGCAGTTTGAAAGGATGTCAAGATTGAGGGGAGGGAAAGTTGACATCCCTGGGAAAGGGGGTACAGTTCTCAGAACCCCCTTCAACACCTTTGTTTTTATTTCCTGTAGGGTCCCCAGGGGGAGCCTGGCCCCCCAGGACAGCAGGGTAACCCAGGCGCCCAGGTAAGTGAGCCCTGGAGGGTGGCCCATGGGTATTGGGCCATGAGGGGTACACATCTCCAGCCCAGAGCCCTGGAGTGGGCAGCAGGGGATTCTACCCTCAAGGTTTCAGCCCCTCGCCTTGCCTGGAGGGAGACAAAGACCCGGGTGGGTGCCTGGATGAGGGAGGTGGCCAGTGGGAGGACTGGGGGATGGCAGGGAGGGGTTCCAAGTCAATCAAGTGCCTCACTTTCCTTCCCGGCTCTTTCCATCCCAGGGTCTTCCAGGCCCCCAGGGAGCCATCGGTCCTCCAGGAGAAAAGGTAGGTGGGCCTGGGCTGGGTCTTGGGGGCCACTGGCCATCTGCAGGTACATTTCCAGCTGAAGCCTGGGAGGGCCACTGGCATCACCAGCTCACCATGTGTCCCTTGGTGTCCCCAGAGGCGCCGAGGCTGAGAACACTAGGAACTGAGTGACAAACAGGAAAGGGTCTTGGATCTTTGCCAATCACTGATTCATTCATTCATTCGTTCCTTCCTTCATTCATTGTCTAGCACTAGGAACCGAGCAGCAAGCAGGAGGCAGATATTTGCCAATCCTTGATTCATCAATTCATTCGTTCATTCATTCTCTAGCATCTATAAGGGTGGCTGAATTTAGCAAGATAAAATATGCAGGATACCCAATTAAATTTGAATGATTTACCATTAATCTGAAATTCGTATTTAACCAGGCATCTTGTTGGGTTGTGGTATCTTGTTTTGGTTTAGTTTCATTTGGCTTTGCTAAATTTGGCACCCCTGAACCTATCTCTAGCACCTACAGTGCCCCAAGTCCTGAGGGAGAACGGGGTGCACTTGCCCTTCTAGAACTTGTGGCTTAATCAGGCCTGGATTGTTCAATCAAGCCACCTTGGTTGGAATCAGCACAAAAAAACATCTAAGAGCTGGACTCGGTGGCTCATGCCAATAATCCCAGCACCTTGGGAGGCCAAGGCGGGAGGACTGCTTGAGTCCAGGAATTCAAGACTAGCCTGGGCAACATAGCAAGACCTTGTCTCTACAAAAGAAAGAAAGAAAGAAAGAAAGCATGGTGGTACATGTCTGTAGTCCCAGCTTCTTGGGAGGCTGAGGTGGAAGGGTCACCTGAGCCCAGAAGGTCGAGGCTGCGGTGAGCCGTGATCATGCCACTGCACTCCAGCCTGGGTGATGGAGTGAGACTCCAACTCAAAAAAAAAAGAAAACAACAACAATAGAAAACACACACACACACATACCTCCAATTGGAGTGCAGGAGAATCCCTTGGAGGACTTTTGAAACACAGGGGCGGGGCCGCTAGGCCTAGAGGTCTGGCAGCCACTACTTAAGGGGCACCCAAGACTGTGGTTCCCCCACTGGGCACTCTGCAGGACCCAGGGGTGTTTGTGGGTTTGGCCAGGGGGGACCTGAGAAAGGCATAGCTGTGAGGGGCAGAGGAGGCTGGAAGATCCTCCCAGGCCTGCGGGAAGGCTCCTGGGGCACCCTGCATCCGCGTGGGTGACTGTGAGAGACGAGGGGCTGAGGTTACTCAACAGGATGATTCTGGCAGCATGAGTGCCTCTGACCACGCTCCCCAGCAGATGTTCTTTGGGCAGAAATGTTGGACATTTCTTGGGGTATATAGAGAGCTTGGACAAGCCTAGGGATGCCATGGGCCTGAGGGCATCTCCTCACAGAGTCTCTGGTTTGTTCTAGGGCCCCTTGGGTAAACCAGGCCTCCCAGGTATGCCCGGTGCCGACGGACCTCCGGTGAGTACCACTGCCCACCTCCCCTCTCCACGGGCCCCCTGTCACCACCCCCTGGGATGGGGTCCGTGAACCCAGGCTCCTGGGGACATCAGATGTCACTCACTCCTTTCTGGCTTGTTACTAAAGACCTATTTGGTCTCAAGCTTGATTGCTCCATAATTATTGGGTCTTGGGCACCCTTTCCGTGTGTTTAAATCAAAGGGTGCTGATTGCACGAGTGGGAATGAAGTTGTTATGAGCCTGTGCTATTAATGACTGAATGCAGCCTTGCACTCTAAAGGATAAGGAGGGCCAGGCCGGGCTCCCGGCCATTGCGTGCATCCCAGGCTGGGAAGTGGAGGGGCAGGGCACGCGGTGTGTATTTTTAGTGTTCACGCACCGGGAAGGGAGGGAGGGGAACAGACGTGCTTTTTGCAATGTGTGAGCGCACAGCTGTGCAGCCAAATTAGATTCTGCCTGGAAATAGCGAGTTAGTGACAAATCCAATCTGTGGCCAAGCTGTGCAGGGGGGTGGTGTGGGGACGTGAAATCCGCTCAGAATGCATGTGTTTTGTGTGTGTGTGTGTGTGCACTCACACACACGTGCGTGTACACGAGTGTGACTGTATGGGCACCCACCACCTCTCTGGAAGTTGCCCCTGGCTTTTTTGGTTTGGGATGATTCAACTGATGTTGAGAGAGATAGAGCCTATTTCAGAAAACAAGATTAGCTCGATTAATTATTTAAGACACAGTGTATTTTACGGCTTTAATAACACCATTAAAATCCAAACAAGAAAGTTAAATATGTCGACAATTAATTGGTGGCTGCTTACTCTGCAACGTCCCTGTGTTTGAGAATCATTTGGTCGAATGAATCACAAATCACAAATTGCCCCTTCTGGCCCGGAACAAGCACACCGTGATCATTTCCGCCTGCGCGTGGACAGCTTTGGGGACCTGCGGTGTCCCGGCCACGTGGGAGTTTGCCCACTAAGTGATTAATCTTTTCCAGTGGGTAATGTGTGCCTTCATTTGCTTTTACATTTAATTGCATCTTCTAATTATAAAAATAACACGTCTTGTTATAGAAGATTAAGAAAATAAATAGAATGGTGACAAAGTGAAATCTGCCCCTGATCTCATCCCTGTGGGTAAAGCCACTGATAACAGGTTAATGTATTTCTCTCCAGTTTTCTTTTTTTTTTCTGTTTCTGCACTGCAATATGAGATGTCTGTGATGCATTAAAGGCAGTGCAAGCCGTGGATGGCCAGACCCAGAGCCCGGTGGGGAGGAGGGTGCCTGGGCGTGGGGTGGGCTGACGAGACCTTTCTCTCTGGGTCCTCGGCTGACTTGACGGAGTCTGCCCTGGAGTCCACCTCCCCACACTGAAGCCTCCAAAGAATTAGGGTTGCTGAAGTGTTCCCAGCTTTCTTTTCTATTCTGGGGTGGGGGTTAAGACACCCCTTGCCTTGAAGCCAAGAGGCTCAGAGACTCTTATTTCTCTCTCCCACTTAAACTTTACAAGGGGATAGTGTGCTGGACCCCATTTGAGTCTGACTGAGCAGGCTCTCACAGGAGGCGCTTTGAACAAAAGGAAAAAACATCAGGGCTGGGTGAAGTGGCTCATGCCTGTAATTCTAACTCTAGCACTTTGGGAGGCCGAGGCAGGAGGATCGCTTGAGTCGAGGAGTTTGAGACCTAGCCTCTACAAAAAAAATAAGATAAAATAATAGCTGGGCATGATGGTGTGTGCCTGTAGTCCCAGCTACTTGGGAGGCTGAGATGGAAGGATCACCTGAGTCCAGGAGGTCGAGGCTGCTGTGAGCCTTGATCATGCCAGTTACATTCCAGCCTGGGCGACAGAGTAAAACCCTGACTCAAAAACAACTACAACAACAACAAAATCAGTTGGCCCAAAGACATAGATCCAGTTTTCTTATGGGAATTTAAATTTTTAAAAATGGAAAAACCTTTTTTTTTTTAGGAGGAGTCTCACTCTGTTGCCCAGGCTGGAAGACAGTGGCACCTTCACAGCCACCTCAGCCTCCACCTGCTGGGCTCAGGCAAAACTTTTGCCTCAGCCTTCCAAGTAGCTGGAACTACAGGTGCATTTCACCAAGCCCGGCTAATCTTTTGATTTATTATAGAGTCAAGGTCTCGCCACGTTGCCCAGGCTGGCCTCGAACCCCCGGGCTCAGGCAGTCCTCTCGCCTCCACCTCCCAAAGTGCTGGGATTACAGGCATGAGCCACCACACCTGGCTGAAAACAAATATTCTTTAAAAAATTCTTCTTTATAACAGTGGCATATTGTGGATAAACCTTAACGAGAGAGTCTATTGTTTTCTTTCTTGTTTGGGTTTTGAAGAAATTCAGATTGATTTAAAACCCATCAAGAAGTGTGAGGTATTTCAAAGCAGACTCAATGCACTGAAATGTATTGTTAAATACTGAAATGTGTTGTTAAATAATTCCTGATAGCACACAACAGGGAAATGGTTAAATGAATTATGGTCACTGGAATATTATGGGGCCAGTAAAAATTGAATTCCAGTGAATATTCAATGACATGAGAAAATGTTCACAATAATATTAAATTAAAACTATATTATACCATGCTGCTTTTGCATGGATATATGCAGAGAAAATAGATTAGAAGGACTATATCACACAATTAGCCGTAGTTGCTCTGAGTGGTGAGGTTATGAAGGATTTTAATTTCTTTTTCCTCTTGCCTAATTGTCTACAATGAACATATATTACTTTTTTAATCAGAAAAATATCAAATACAAATAATTTCAGCTGTATTATTTTTCCATTATAAAATTAGGGCTCATTTTAGAATCCTGGAAATGGCAAACAAGTCTAAAGAAAAAGGAAAACAGCCTAGCCTTTTGTGGCAGAAAAATCAATCACACTTATTTTGTTATATTTCCTTTTTTGCCTTTTTCTGTTCAAATATTTTATAGAAGCAGGCCTGGTACAGTGGTTCATGCCTATAATCCCAGCACTTTGAGAGGCTGAGGTGGGAAGATCACTTGAGCCCAGGAGTTCGAGACCGGCCTGGGCAACATAGCAAAACCTCATCTTTACAAAAAATACAAAAATTAGCCAGGCATGATACCACGTACCTGTCGTCCCAGCTACTCAGGAGGCTGAGGTGGAAGGATTGCCTGATTATGCCATTGTACTCCGACCTGGTCAACAGAGTGAGAACCTGACTCAAAAAAGTATATATATGTATTTTTTAAGTAAGCAAGTTTTGTGCTTCCCCCTATCTGGTCACTCTCTTTCTATAACTACAACTTAGACTATCCCCAAAGAGATGTGGCCTCAGTAGGAAGCTAGCCTTAATCACAGTAGAAGTTGCAGCTCCTCTTTGGTGCGGGTGTATTCCTGTCTCCAATCTATAACTGAGGAAATGATCGTGTGGACAGGTCGGTGGGCTTCTCTGAGTGACTGGGGCATGGGGTCTGCCCCCACTGCATGTCACTGTGGAGCTCGGCACTTGGTCACCCCCAGATGCCACCTCACAAGTCCCTTAACAGAAAAGTGGGCCAGACACAGTGACTCAGGCCTGTAATCCCAGCACTTTGGGAAGCTGAGGCGGGAGGATCGCTTGAGGCCAGGAGTTTGACACCAGCCTGGGCAACATAGTGAGATATCGTCTCTACAAAAAATACAAAAATTAGCTGGGCGTGGTGGTACGTGCCTGTCATCCCAGCTATTTGGGAGACTGAGGTGGGAGGATCACTGAAGCCAAGGAGCTCCAGGCTGCCTTGAGCTGTGATTGTGCCACTGTACTCCAGCCTCGACGACAGAGCCAGACTCTGTCTGTGAAAAAGAAAGCGCGGGCGGGAGGGAACAAGGGAGGGAGGAAGAGAGGGAGGGAGGGAAGGAAGTCTGCAGTTGGTGGAAACTATAGTCAAGGTCTACCTAGAACCCCCCCGGCCCCTTGAGGCAGGACACCTCTCTTTGGCACCGTTTGGGTCCAGCCGGCCACCATGGGGTGCTGGCACCCTGAACCTCACTTCAGGAAGGCCAGATGGTGGCTGTGAGTTCCTTCCAAGTGGAGTAGCAGGCGTGCCTGAATTCCCTCAAAGGCTCCCCCTGCCCCAAGATCCCACAAAGGGAACTTTTGCAACTCCTAACTTGCTTTACCATCGTGATAGGCTATTTGCAAAGGCACCAAATCCAATGGTACAGCTGATAAGATTGTAAAATCCGCACACAAGTCATTTATCAGAGAGAGGAGGCTTGGGTCTCCTAAATGCTGCCGTCTAGACAGGTCTTTGGGGCACTCAAGGTAAACAGCATCTAGCCCACCCTCTCATTTTATTTGCTTGTTTGTGTGTTTATTTGTTTAGAGTCGGGGTCTCACTCTGTTACCCAGGCCGGAGTGCAGTGGCAGGATCATGGCTCACTGCAGCCTCGACCTACTGGGCCCAGGCAATCCTCCTGCCTCAGGCTCCTAAGTAGCTGAGACTACAGGCGAAGGCCACCATGCCCAGCTAATCTTTTTATTTTTTTATAGAGACGGCATCTTGCTATGTTGCCCAGGCAGGTCTGGAACTCCTGGGTTCAAGCGATCCTCCCGCCTCAGCCTCCCAAAGTGCTGGAATGACAGGTGTGAGCCACTGCACCCAGCCTGTCCTCTCATTTTAGACATGATGGTGTAGACACCCAGCGAGGGCAAATGACTTCCCCGAGGTCACACAGCAGGTCGAGTTCATCCAGGAGTAGAGTCAGACCCCTCCCTACCAGAATCCTCACTACACCACTCGGCCTCTTTCTTGGAGTCCTTGTTGGTTGAACTGTATTTCTACTGGGTGAACATCGATCTTTCTGCTTTTACCGTATACCTTTGGCTCACTGTGAGATCAAAGGAGTTAAACCAATGCCTGCCCGGGTTAGAAAATCAGAGAAACTGGTGATGTCCTGAGTGGAACTGGTCTAGGTCCAGTAGATAGGGTGGTAACCGAGAGATGCTAGCTTTTCCTGGGGCCTCAGCCGGGGACCTGTAACATGGGGTGCAAGGCGTCTTGGCTCAGCAGTGTTCTCAGTCCCCAAGTCCACGTGGAGCCCCAGGGGTGTGGCTTGAGGCACCCATGTGAATACCTGGGGACATGCTGGGACTCCCACCAAGTGATGAGCCTCACCCTTCGCCCCCACACCAGCCTCGCCTTTCTTCTGCCTCCCCCAGTGACGGGAGGTCCCCAGGTGTGCAGAGATGCCTGGAGCCTAGTCTGGCTGGGTTCATTATCCTGCAGGTTCATGGCCAAGTGACCTTGAGCAGGGTCCTCTTGCCCCGTCCCTATTCATGCATTCCCCATGGTGGCTCTGCCCTGGAGGTGGGGCTAACTCTGACTGGGTCAGGTGCCAGCATGCGTGTTCCTCGTACCTGGGGCTGCAGTGTGTTTGCCTCTGTCAACACTGACCATCTCCAGGGCCCTGGCAAGGGGCCAGGCTGGGCTTATTGTTCTGTTTTGTGGATGAAGCAGCTGAGGTTTGGGGGGTAGGTGCCTCGCTCAGGACCCGGCGCCTGGGAATGGCCACCCGTCCGGCCATCTTTAGCCTCCAGTGCTTTCGTTTTCCTGAAGGGGGGCACCTTCCATGATCATGGATGCTGCAGAGGGTGGGAGAGCCAACTGGGGTGGCATCTGACTAACCAAGGCATCCTCTTTTGTGACAGGGGCACCCTGGCAAAGAAGGACCTCCAGGAGAAAAAGGAGGTCAGGTAGGTACTCACCACTCCCCTCCCTACCTCAGCACCCCAGGCAGGGTGGGCTTTGGGGCTCTGGGTTCAGCCTGTGCTTGGGGATGCCCCTGCTTGGAAAGGAATGAACTAGAAACACTTCAGTCCTTCCCCAGGTGTCTCTGCCAGGGGGACTCTGCCTGGGCGGGGGTAGCAGGGACCTTTTGCTTCAAGAAGCGGAGACCTCCCATCCCAGCCAGTGGGTGCTCCATCTGGGTCCACGTGACCCCACCCCACACTCCAGGCCGCCCATGACCCAGGTCAGGTGCAGGCAGCACTGCAGCCGCTCAGCCTTGACCTTGACTCTGCAAAAATTGGACGACCGTTCGGTTATGGGGAGAGTCTCGCTGGCACAAATGAGGAAAGCTTGCAGGGCCATGCAGATGTTAGGGGTGGTGGGCTCTCCCTGGACACCTGTGTCCCAGCGCTATGAGCTGGCCACAGTTGCTCCTGTCTGTGGCAACTACTGGGCTCCCTGGGTCCTGTGCCAGGACATCCTCTGGTGCCCTTTCTCTACACCCCTATTTATGGCAAAGCAACAGAGGCCAGAGGCCCCTCTGTGGGAAGAACACACAGATGGGAAAGAGTGGCCTCGTGGGGTGCTGTTGTTGCCATTGTCTCTTTTGGGTGGTTTATGGCAGGGCCTGGGAGGACACCCAAGCCCCTGATAGATCCCTTCCATGATGGCATCACCATTTTCTTGGCCTGACCGACCGGCAAGGCCCTTGGCTATGGAAGGCCACCTCTTCTCAGCAACCAGTCCTCGTCCCCTTCTCCCAGCCGGAAGTTGTTCTTGCTTTATCCCGAGGTCTCTGGGCTGGGGGTGTGTTTCTTTAAGGACAAGTCTGTCCATCCAGAGCACCAGAGATGGCCTGTCACCATCTTGGGCGCCATTGCCTGAGACTACCTTTTGCCTTTGCCCTTGATGAGGGTCACGTGCAGGTATCCCTGGTGTCCCCCATGGGAGCCTTTTCTGTTCTGCTCACAGCAGCAGGGAATGTGCCAGAAGGAATCAGGAGTTAACTGGTATTAACCAGATGTTAACCCCACCTAACATGGAGCTCATGGTCTTTTCTCTTTGGTTCTAGGGTCCTCCTGGCCCTCAGGGTCCGATTGGCTACCCAGGTCCTCGTGGAGTCAAGGTGAGAGGGTCTTGCAGTTCTGGGTCTTCCTAGATGGCAGGGCCGAGGCCGCGGGGTATGACTTGGCTGGTTTTAGGGAACTCCTGTGTGGTTAAATGTCCCCCCAGCCCAAACATATGGACGCCAGGTCCTGGGACAGCGGGCCTGAGTTGGGGAGGGTGTGACCTGCTGGAGTCAGGAAGAGCTGATTTGAAGCAGGAGACAGTATCCAGTTGGCCTGTGACAAAGCCAGTGGCACGCTGGTGACATCTGTCAGGACAGGACACGTTCGGTCGCCTCGGGCCTCTTTATTACTGTAAGTTGTCAGACTTCTGTTACTCTCCTCGTGGACAGCAGAGCTCGGCCAAGGTCAAGAGCTCAGCCTCATTCCTGGGGAAGCTTGGGGACATGTCTTCTGAGCCATTTTTACAAAGAGTGAAGGAGAGAATTTGTCCCCATCCATAGCATCTGGGTGGGCCAACGCAGTTGCAAGGCAAAGCTGTGGGGCATGTTCATTTGTCCCCAGTCGGTTTTCTGTTGCAGAGGCTTCAGGAACCTTGTTATGCAAGGTGGGCTTCACAGTAATATCCTAATCGTGGGTTCTCTCTGTCACACCACAGTTAACTGTGTTTGCTTTGAACTGTGTATTTCCATCTCCAATGGTGCTACTCTCTGGACATACCGGCACATTTAGATGCAGAGGGGTGTACCTCTAGGAACCCAAGGAGCCAAGCTCTGTTTTTTTCTCCAAGAACAGTGACATTGCAGTGTCTTAAAGGCCAATGGTAGGCCAGGAGTGGTGGCTCACGCCTGAAATCTGAGTACTTTGGGAGGCCGAGGTGGGAGGATCACGTGAGGCCAGGAGTTTGAGCGATATAGCGAGGCTTCGTTTCTACACACACAAAGAATTAGCTGGTCATGGTGGTGAGCACCTGTAATTCCAACTACTTGGGAGGCTAAGGCAGGAGGATCGCCTGAGCCCAGGAGGTTGAGGATGCAGTGAGCCGTGATTGTGCCATTGCACTCCTGCCTGGGCAACAGAGTGAAACCCTGTCTCTAAAAAAGAAAAAAAGGCTGATGGTGATTGTTTCCTTCAAAATGATTTTAACTTGGCATGAAGGAACATATATAGCTGTTAAAACAACTACTTTAGCTGAAAGGATTTGGATAGATGTGTAGATAAGCTCTCTTGTCCCTCATCCACATAGTTTGAAGTGCTTTTTATTTTTCAAGCATTGTTATCCATCAGAAGTGTGTGACTGCCCTGAACCTTGGGAGATGGAGAACCCAAGCCTTCAGTTTTCAGTGACTTGCCCTAAATTACACTAAAATCGAGGCTGTAAGGAGGACCTTCACCAAATTCCAAGTGAAGTGTCCCATCCCCGGCCCCAACGTTCATTTCCCAGGAGCAAGGATGTTCCAAGTTCAAGAGCCCCCGAAGAGAGACCTCCCAGGGCAGGGAGCCTTAGGTGGGTCAGGTTTCTCACTAAAGCACGCTTTTACCAGCACGACGCCTAGTGCCTCTTCTCTAAAGGGTGATAATTGAGCAGAAATGCTGATTATGTGAGTTCCACGCATGTTTATTTTACAAATTCCTGTCACATAGCAGAGACTGGTGCCAGATCCCCATACATGGATAATTGCATAATGCAGCTTCTGTGAGCTAAAAAAGGTGTTTGCTTTAAAATGTTTATGGAGAATGCTCTTATCTTGTCTATCTGATTAAAATTCCTTCATAACATGAGCAATCCAGTTAGACTTGGAAGCAGAGGGTGGAAGTAAAACCAAGATGTAAAACACCTTCCATTGGGGAAATAGACTTTCAGACTCCCGTGGATTTGAAAATGTACGTGGCACCAGCCTCCCAGCGAGCCTCTACCCTAGAGGCAGTGATGGCGGCCATGGGTGGGTGTGCTGGCCAGGCTGCTGCTGTGGAAGCACGGGTGATCCCTGGTAAAGGAGGTCTAGTAATTTTCCACCAAAGCCCTTCTTCCTGAGACAGGGTTCTTTCTGTCTACTCAGACAGCTGTGACGAAATACCATGAACCACAGTGGCTTTAAACAACACAAAATGATTTCTCACAGTTCTGGAGGTTGGGAAATCCAAGATCAAGGCATTCGTAGATCCGGTGTCTGTCTGAGGGCTGCTCTCTGGTTCCTCGATGGTGCCTTCTAGCTGTGTCCTCCCTTGGCAGAAGTGGAGACAGGCACCCTCAGTCCTCTTTTGAAGGCACTCATGCCATTGACCAGGTATCCACCCTCATGACTGCATGGTCTCCCAAAGGCCCCGCCTCCTAGTGGCTACAGTCCATGACCTCATCACCTCCCAAAGACCTCGCTTCCTGGTGGTTCCACCCCATGACCTCATCCCCTCTCAAAGGCCCCGCCTCTGAATAGCTCCACCCTCATGACCTCGTCACTGCCCACAGCCCGCCTCCGAATGCCATGCCTTGGAAGGTCACAGATGGTTCAGACCACAGCGGGTTGCCTTTGTGTTCCTTGGATCTCACTGACCTTTAACCTTCCTCTGGACGTCCCATGACCTGGCCTTTCTGAAAGGGTATCTATTTTGGCTTGACCTTCAGCAAAATCAAACCCACCCCTCCTTTTGCCCATAGCTGCTGGGTGAGTTTTCAGAAGGTCGCAGCTAGGAATTCACACCCGGGCCTTGGGCAAAACCCTGCCCCTCTGGGCTGTCTCCCCAGCTGTTCTGTGACCCCCACGTTTTTTCCCTCAAGGGCGGCCCACCAGTGGTGTGATGCATGCCCTAGTCCGGGGCTGTTCTCAACTGGGGCTGATTCTTGCTTGACTGGACAGTGCTCCTGTCATTGAATGGGCAGAAGCCAGGAAGGCCACCAGGCACCCTACAACGTGTGCGGCAGCCCCCACAACAAGGAGTGGCCTGGCTCCAAATGTCAATAGCTCTGCAGTTGAGCCCCTCTGATTGGTCCCATTCCTCTGATGTGGGTCGTGAAAGGGTAGAACTTTAGGCTTGAGCTATATCTTAGGGTTGCTGTGGTCTTACCTTCTTGTTTTCAGCAGGTCATGGGCAGGGGCAGGATGGACAGTGCCCCCTAGCCCACCCAGCACCAGGCAGGAGAGAGCTGGTGCCAGATCCTCCCACCCCTGGCCTGTGCCAAGGAGTTTAGCAGGAGATGCCACCACACAAACACAGTCTTGCAGGACTCACACCAGGGAGAGGGAGTTGGAGCCAGACGGGCCTTGTATTTAGGGCCCAACGTCACTGAGCCGGTTAAACCCTGCAGCCTCGTGTGGGTTGAATTCTGTTTGCATTCTCAGCCACACCTGCGATTTTCATAGGCGCTCCCGGGGAAAGAAGTGGAATCTCAAATTGCCATTCTATTTAACACATATGGAGAGAATTCAAAATTGCCCTAAAAAGGAATTCAAAATTGCCTCATCTTCTAAAACGCCCTCCTTGGTGGGGTCCTGGTGCAAATGCTTTTGCACCCACATTCTGCGGGGATGCCTTGAGATGGCAGGTGGGCTCTGGTTACTCCCCAAGCAGCCCCACCTGTTTCCTTTTGGGTATGGGGGAGCTCCAAGCGAGAACCACTTTGGAAAAAGGCATCCTGCTAGAAAACAAAAACAAAAAGCTCTTGGGGACCGCCAGCCTGGAGGCAGCTGGATTAACTGAGTCTCCTCACTTTTGTGGATTCTTTGGGCCCACAGACATTAAGTGCCTACTGTGTGCAGGAACTGTGCCCAGGGGCAGGCCTGTGCCTTCAGCTGGCCCTTGGGCTGACTCGCAGCTGACCTGGGCCATGTTCTCCACACCCGGCCCCCAACCTGAGCTCTGAGTTTGTGTGCTGGCCTCCCTTCATTTTGAATCCAGTGCCCCATCACAGGCTGGGGTGGAAGCAGGTGTGGGGGAAGCTGTGCTGCCATCCCTGCTGCTGGGCTTGGTGTCCATCAATCCTGGCTCGCATACCCAGCATCGGGCTGAAGGAGTGGGAGCTGCTCTGAGCCCACCCCGCCCTCCGAGGCTGGGGAGCCAGATGTCACAGCCCCCTCTGATAGCGGTCACACGCCATAACCATCTCCATGAGTGGTGATGGAGTGCAAGTGTAGACAGCTGAGCACTCTCGTGTCCCCTGATATTCCAAGCCCTCTGGGGGTCGGGGTGTCAGGGTGCACACACCTCTGGCCTTGTGCAGCTGCAAGCACTTTGTCGCCAGGCGAGGGAACCCAAGGTGCTTCTGCGTCACATTCCCTGCTCCTGTGGGGGAGGTGAGGCCTTGCAGCCCCCCCCCCCCCACCCCCAGCTCTAAGGAGCTCCTCCATCCCTTCCCTCCAGAAATTGCAAAGTCTATGGAAGGTTCTGGCCACCAGAGGGCACTGTGCAGCCCTGGGTCTCTGAGGAGGTGGCCCTGGTGGCAGCCTGAGCTTGAAGATCGGTGGAGAGGTGTCCTGTGGGTGGGTGGCCCCAGGCTGCCCCTGGAGTCAGCTGTCAGTCTCTATATCTAAATGTCACCTCTCGCTCGGAGGGCTCAGGTCGAGAGACATCAACTGCGAGGCTGTGGCTGTGAAACTCATTCCACGGATGTCCCCTCTCCCGGCCACAGAACTGGGCACAGGGGGATGTCAGAAAAGTGGCCCGGAGCCTGCCCTAGAGATTCTTATTTAGCAGGGAGATGAGCTGGTGTGTCCCGAATTGATTACAGCCACGGTAATTGTCCTTATCATCAACTAAAAATATTATGACCTATCATATGCCGGTGGTAATAAAGAGTTAGTCAGAGGGCGTGGAGCTTCCGTGTATTGGCACCGACTGTGTGCCAGACACTGTCCTGCAGGCTTCACTCCCCCCTCACACCCAGCAGCAGTAACACAGCAAGGGTTGCCATCTCTTCTTTTGCCCCAATTAGGAAACTGAGGCACAGGGGCATTTTGGGCATTGTCAGAGTTCACAGAGTGGGGACTGGGACCTAGAGAGTTTGCTCATCCCAGACCCAATGTCCTGCTTCCTCCTCAAATCTCGGAGAGATGAGGAAGCTTCTGGAAGAGGATGCTCTAGGGGCCTTCCAAGGGGGGCATGGGCCCCAGGCAGGGCAGATCCAGCACTCTGGGAGAAAAGGCAGGGACCCACTTGGGTCTTTTGCATAGAGGGGAGGAGTCGGGGGAGGTCAGCCCAGGAATCAGGGACCCTCAAGGTGAGGACAGGAGCCTTTCGTGGCCGCAGAGGTCTCTTCCTCCTGCGACTGGGGCACATGGAAGGGAGCGCATCTGGGGGCAGGTGGCTGGGCTCCTCTGTCCTCTGCGGGGAGCTCGAACTGTGTCAATGTCTAAAGCTTGGACCTGCTTCTGTGAGAGCTCAGTGGATGCTCAGATGTGTGCCCACTCACTTTCTTTTCCTGCCTGCACAGGGGGCAGACGGCATCCGAGGTCTGAAAGGCACAAAGGGCGAGAAGGTGAGTGTGTTCCCACAGCTGGGGGCCCCTGGCCCTGGCCTGAGCTGGATTCCAGCCGGGTGGGCTCCTTCCACGATGTGCTTCCATGAAACCAGCAAGGTCGGAGGCGGCCTCTGAATATTTGGGGGAGGTGATACCATTCTGCAGGGAAGCATGTTTGTTTGCAAAAGGGAAAGCCGTAAATGGAGTTGAGGAAGACCTGGGCTACTGTGGGGTGTGTCTTCCTGGCAGGGATGAGTGGGTCTGGGGTTTGTGCCTCTGCCCAAGGAGAAGGCCCTGGCCCCGGCCCCAGTGGCAACGCACAGACAGCCCTCCACTCACCTGCAGGGGCCAGCAGATACCTCTCATCCCCACTCACCACTCCCCTGGCAGGCCACCCCCTGAAGCAGCCGGCAGAACATCCATTTAGCAGTTAGGTATCCTTCCCAGGACAGCTCCTTGTGGTGCAGAGATCCACACTCGTGCACAGAACCAGCAGGGTGGCAGAGGGGTAGGCCCGGGGCGCCATACCTCATGGGCTGCACATGGCCTTGAGGGCAGAGAGTGACTGGCACCCCCAGGACCACCAGCCACACCTGGCACGGCCCGCCTGGCTCTGCCTGATGCAACATGAATTAGCGTGCAGCCACAGCTGGGGAGACTGTGTTGCTGGCCATCTGAGGGGGTGCATGTCAGACCTCAGTGGATCATTCTGGTTAATAAAAAACCAAACGACCCCACCATGCACACTTGCCAGAGTTGGGATGTTGGATGTCCCTGTGGCCTAAACCACGTGGCACTGCATGGCCGGCCACCTTCTTCTTTCCATGTTGGTGGAGGGAAGCCCAGAGCCAAATTTGCAATCCTCAGTCCTGGCACAGACTTTGACCTTAGCAAGAAGGCATCGCTCTGCAACCCGCTCCCCACTGTGGCCCCACATTCCGTGTTGGGTCTTCCCTGCCCTTCTGAGTAGCTATGGGATACACGTTTTCCATAAGGTGCTCCAGGCAGACCACAGGGCTTCCCAGCACTGCAGGGCTGGAGTGTGGGGTCTGTTCGTGCTGGGGTATTGCATATGCCACGATCTCATGTGGCACCATGGAAGACATTGCTTGAATCCTTGGCAGTCTGAAGGCCATTCTCCAGATGGTTCGCAACTGGACCGGAGTGACGCTGCAGTTGCGGTGGTGTCGTGACGGCCGAGCACCCTCGTCCCCAGACCCTGTTCTCAGTGGGCTACCCCTGTGGGAGGACCAGCTGGCAGGCCCGTGCTGCATCAGCTCCTTCCAGAACCCCTGTTCAACATCCTACACCAAGACAGAACTCCAAGCCCGCATTCCAGGAGATCTGAGCAATTCGGTCAGCCCCAGGGTGCTGCTGTCTACATGGAGCCCGATGGGGTTTTCGGACAAGCACCTCCTTAGGGAACAGATGGACCGGCAGGGCTATTTGTAGCCCCCGCCCCCTGTCCCAGAATTCTCATTCTGTTGGTCCCTGGGTGGCTGCCTTACCAAGGGACCTTCTGTCCTTTTGAAGGTGGCTTCACAGAGTCCCCGCTTATCTTGCCACCTTCGTCCCTAGCCAGAGACAGGGCTGCTTGAGATTATATTGATTGGGTTGTGCGGAGGACGTCTTCTCGCCAGGAGACTCACTGCGCTGTCCCATGGGAGGAACCGAACTGCCTTTGTGGGCTTTCTGCGTTCTTTGTGACTGCTGCTGATAAATTGCCAGACGTCATGAACATGGTGCACGAGGACCTTGGGGGCCTTTGCTGACCGGACGGGACCAGATTCTCATGTCACAAAAAGCTGTCTCCCTCCCATGCGGGTTTCCAGCAGGGTTTTAAGTGTTTACGACCTGGCTGAGGCCCCAGATCCTGTCCTTCCTCTCTTCCTCGATAGAGATGTTACCTCTAAAGAAAGACGGGGGGAGGCCTCAGCCAAGGTCCCTGTCCCCGGGAGCCAGCCATGCCCTATGTGGAAGGATCTGAGGGGTTTCATTCTGTAGTTTCCCAGATGGAAAAAGTCCAGACCCGGGGCTTCAGTGGACAGCAGGTCACTGGCCTTTGACAGCCTCACTTGTGCAAATCCTCAGATCCACAGAAGACGCTGACATGTGCAGCTTGCTGCTAAACTCAGCCTGTTACCCCCTAGAGGGTTTCTGGCAATGCCCGGCCCCTTCAGACAGCGCATTCCTGTTATTTGCAACACCAGCGAGCATAGCCTGGTTTCGTTGGGGGAGAGGGGCATGTCCATGCAGCTCCCCTTCCTCAAATGTCACCCTGTTCATCCGTTATGGTCTACACTGCCGAGAGGACATGACAGAGCCGCTCTGAGCAGTGATGCCCGGAACTGGGGCATGTAGGCTCTCTCACACCTGACCGTGCAGAACATTCAGATTCAAACCCAGCCCACCTGGTGCTCAGGGCTTCCAGGTGTCGAGCATGAACTAGCGGGAACTGCAGAGTGCGATTCACAAGGGACAGGCCCCCAAGCCCGCCCTGTCAGGGACCTGGTCTGAGTGTGTTGTTACAAGGAGCAGGGAAGCAGATGCTGGGAGTGGGTTCTTCTGTCTGGCCTGAGGCATTCTCTTGTCCCTCATTCAGGGTGAAGACGGCTTTCCTGGCTTTAAAGGAGACATGGGCATCAAGGGCGATCGGGTGAGTATCTTGGGTTTGGGATTCGGGCCAGGGAAGGCGAGTGGGCATGGGGCCCTCCACGAGGGGCCGGGGGCAATGGAGGCCCCAGGAAAGCTTCTCTGCAGAGATTCAGGGTGGTCCGGATCCCAGTGTCTGGCTCTCTCCAGCCCCTCACCATCACCTCCTTCACCTACCCCTTGGGACCAGGGGTGACTTGTGGCCACCCAGTTCCCCTCCCTGGTGGCCTGCCCAGGTGGGTTAGTGGAGACTTGGGTTTCTTCTGGCTGGTACTGCGGGTCACAGAGAGGTTCCTCTGACTCAAGAATGACACAGAGAAAGAGAAGAGAGAGGAACGGGGGCATGGAAATGAGTGACCTAGGCTGACCCAGGAGCCCGGCAGCATGGCCACTGCAGGGCAGCACCGTGACAAGGGACTGGGGCCCCTGCTGAGTTCACAGAGCACCTTGGTCCCCAAACAACTTTTCAGGGGTTCTTCAGGACCCCCACATAGTCCTGGGGACTGTGATCTCATGTTGTTAGCAGGAGAAGCCACAACAAATGGGGGTTTCACTCTGTCGCGCTGGAGCGCAGTGACACGATCATGGCTCACTACAGCCTCCACCTCCCGGGCTCAGGCCATCCTCCTCCCTCAGCCTCCAAAGAAGCTGGAACAACAGGCACACCACCACATCTGGCTAATTTTTTCTTTTGGTAGAGACAGGGTCTTGCAACTTTGCCCAGGCTGGTCTGGAACTCCTGGGCTCAAGTAATTGTCCCACCTCGGCCTCCCAAAGTGCTAGGATGACAGGCATGAACCACTGTGCCTGGCCTCCGGCTTGGTTTTCTTTTTTTCTTTGAGTCTGACTGTCACTCTGTCACCCAGTGCAGTGGCACGCTTACTGCCACCACAGCCTCCACCTGCTGGGCTCTTGCAATCCTTCCGCCTCAGCCTTCCAAGTAGCCAGGACTACAGGCACACGCTACCACGCCCGGCTATTATTTTGATTTGTTGTAGAGAAGAGGTCTCACCAAATTACCTGGGCTGGTTTCAAACTCCTGAACTCAGGCAATCCTCTTGCCTCGGCCTCCGGCTTGGTTTTTTTTTTTTTT